GAGGGAGCAGCCGCCGCGGTTGCAGTGTAGGGTAAAGCTGGGGAAGAGTCGCCCCTCGTCCCTCCTTCTTGCCCAGCTCCTTCAGGGCTACTTGGCTCCCCATCCGTTTTACCTTGAGGTGCGGTATTCTCCAGCCGCGTTTGGAAACGAGTCATCTCTCATGGTCCAGTAAAACTTTGGATACTTCTTCCCTAATACCCTAACTCGGTTTACTACAGGTTTTTTGCATTCTGAGACTTTTTAGGGTTGTGGGTGTTTGGTGTTTTGGTTTTTTTTTCTGGATAAACTTGAAGCAAATATGTACCTCTACAACGCAGATTTTTGTTGTGGTGTTTAGGGGAAGAAAAAAACCTAAGCAGGCCATGGGTGTGTTGAGTTTCCAGAGCATCTTTCCCTGTGGCATATAGCTATTGGCAACCAAATCGTGCCAGTATTCATTTCTGCTCTCAGTTTTTAAGGCTGCAATGACTGTTGGAACAGCAGAATGTGTTACTGCCAAATTTTTGTTGACTGAACAACAGTAAATGTTGGTGTTAAGTAGTGTTTGCTCTAGGCACATTCCAGGTACGTAACTGCTTTTGAAGCAAAGCCTAGCTTAAAGTAGGTATCTTCATTGTCTTGAGCAGGAGGTGTGTATTTTTAATTGTTGGTTGCTGGCCTATTGCATAATCATTTTGATGTAAGGGTAGGGATAGTAGTTCTTTTCCTGGGTGCATGTTCAGAAAGCTGGAAAAACAAGTCCTCCTTCAGCTTTAATTTATAAAAGATTGTTCTAAGCACCTAACCCCTATCTCTTCTTCTACCATGCAGGTTTATTGTGAAACTTGCAGCGTCAATGGGAAATTAGCAGTAAACCACATACCACAAGCGTTATCTAAGGAAGATGCAGTGTTCTAGTGCATACCTCTGAAGGAGCTGGTAAGTGAGAGTCTGTTGTTTGTGAGGCTGCATTTTGACTTTTCTGTTTTGTCATGACTAATTCAAGGTCACATCGGAATTAAGACGCCTTTGCCAGCGGAATGAGTGTGATACAGTTTGAAACTCTGATCTGCTGAGTGAATTATAAAGCCACCTGAAATTTAGGCAGTGTTTCTTTTTACTGCTGTCTTTTTCCGTGTACCTGAAAAAATTACCTTGCTCAAACAATGCTCCAGCAACACGTTAAGTAAGAAAGATGCTGATGACACAACAGAAATAATAGATGCACCGCTACATATGTGGAAATTGTAGACATAAAGATGAATTAAAGAACACTTGCTTCCAGGAGTGGGAGGAAAAACTCTTCTAGTGCTTAGTGTTCGTGAATTGTTTGCGTTCTTTTTTAGAAGCAACAAGAGGAAGGATTTGCTTAGTGAATCTTGATGTGTTTGGCGTACGCGTATTGTGGCACTTGAGATCCAAGTTGACAGTGATTTGAGATTTGTTTCAGATGTGGAATTCTGGTGTGAAATACTTGTTTTAATTAAAATGTCTGTGTTCTCGAAACTGTGTTGGCATCTCAAGCATAAATACTTTCTAATTTGGGCTCCAGTTTGTGCATGACATTATCTTTTATTTCCATAATCCAAAGAGAAAACTCTGCCAAACATGAAACATGTTCCATGGGTTTGTAAATTGTTTTGCTGTGGGTGTCTGATCCTGATCAAATTCATGTACGTAATTGAAAAACTAAAAGTTCAGCTACCTGATTCGGAGGCATGGTTAGTATCTATGTATGCTGAATGTCTTGGAGGCTCTAGTGCTTTTTCCTTTCCAAAATTAAAGTTATGGTGTAAAATATTGTTCGGGTTGGCAATGGAATGGTTATGATTGACTTGTGGCTGGAAAGCAGTAAAATGAGTTGTGTTATTTCTGTGGTTTTGGACGGGGAGACCAATTGACAGTACAAATCCCTTCTTGATGTTGCTGTCTTGTTTGGAAGTTCTGCACTTAATTTATTCTTTGACTTCCAAGTCATGAGCTCTTTCCAGCCTCGCTGAGGTGTGGCACAACTACAATTTAGGAACACTATATATGGTTTTTTTGATTATTACTTATAAAGGATATGGATGCTAAAGTCTGTCTGATATCTTTTGTGGGCGTTACCCTAAAAAAAAATAGAAATCTAGTGTTACCTTTGTGGCTTGAATTTCTGCCTCATTCAGATGGATGTTATTTGTATACTATATTAATAGGCTTCTAATTTTTACTGGCCGATAGAGAATCCAGCAAGATGTGAAGAAATGGTTCTGGGACCTGGATTAAAATGTAAATTGAGTAAATATAACATGTATCTAATATGTTTGGATGCTTTAAAGCAACTTGTTCATCTCTGCTTTCCTTTTCCTGCAGTTAAAACTGGTTCAAATAAAAAACAACAACAAATATATACAGCTATATATATATATGATATATATATTATATATATGTATTATATATATAAATAAACCACTTGGATATAGTCTCTCTCTCACAGAAATAAAAAATATTGGCTCATGATTTGAGGGCAAATAGATCTCATGTCCTATTTCTACTGGAACAGCTGCAGGGCAGATGTTCTAGTTTGTTAGAATCACTCGTGGCTGTGAACAAATGTCTGCCCAGAAATGCAACAGTACTGTTGATTAGTATCGTCGTTTATTTCTTTAAAATACATCCATCTCTATGCACATCCTGAGATAAAAAATATTGGCTCATGATTTGAGGGCAAATAGATCTCATGTCCTATTTCTACTGGAACAGCTGCAGGGCAGATGTTCTAGTTTGTTAGAATCACTCGTGGCTGTGAACAAATGTCTGCCCAGAAATGCAACAGTACTGTTGATTAGTATCGTCGTTTATTTCTTTAAAATACATCCATCTCTATGCACATCCTGAGGATTGTTTAAATATTAGACTCTGCAGTCCAGAAGGGCTTTGAAACACCCAAAAGTTGTGTTACTCCACTTTTACTGCAATAGAAAGGCATAAAAAGAAAAAACTGTTTTCAAAAGGTTACATGTGCAAATTAAAGTTACACCCGATGTGATCTAAACCAGAATTATTCATAGCATTTTTATAAGTACTTTTATACTGTGATACACAAGTGGAAAGCTCTCTGTCAAGCTAGGTAAGGGCAATGCCTACATCAGCAATCATTTACTGCATTCGAAGTAGCTTCTGTTCTGCTCAAAGGTGCTCAAGAAGAAACTGTTACCATCAAAGCCGTAAGTTAGGTGGTGTTGGCTTTTGAGGGTAAGTACTGCACTCTAGGAAGGTTGTCTCCTTTCATCTTCTGAGAGGACTTCACCTTTTTGTTAATAACAGGTGTTTGCATTTGAGGGATCTTGTCACCTCAGGTATTGTTGAAAAATGACATTAAAGCTTTTTAGTCAGCAATTTATCAGCTTAGCTGTAGATTAGAAATGAATCTTTCCATCCTTGCATAAAACTCCCAAAGCTAAATCTTCTCTGCTGTTTTTGGCAGTGACATCACTTTCCAGCAGTTCTGTAAACTGCCATTATTCCTCTTAATTTTCACTCCGGGATGTGGTGGCAGTACCATTCCCAAAGCTAACTAGTTCTTAGTGTCTCATTCGGGAGAATCTCTGTATGTGCAAAGTCTCCTTGCTGCTTACGCTCCTTGGTTCCTATAATCAGCATAGCCAACAGCAAGGCTAATGGGGCACTGCCTCGGCCTTTGTCAGCTAGCATCGCGCGTGCAGCGCGCTTCACCTGACTGCTTTTCATTTCAGCATAGGTGTCATTTTATTTAGATGTATGTAAATGTGAACTGATGAAATGATGGATGCTGCAGCTTGACCCTGACAGACTCGACACTGTTATGCTTAAACTGGAAGGTATCGTGACAGTGCAAGCTTTTCCTGCTCTGCCCCAGTCCTCACTAACTGTAGAAATTAGTTGTAGCAGTAAGACTGGATTTGGGTTTCAGGATTTTCAGTCCTTGATCTTGGAGCTTTCAGCCCGATAGCAGGGGATAATAATAAATTTCCCCACCAAGGTAAACTAATCTTATTTTGAAGTTGAGGCAACAGGCTACGTGTAAGTGATTTTAAAAACTGGAAGGAAATTAATCATAGGAACTGCTCAATGATTTTTGTTCTTTAGAACAACAACTTGCCAAGGGTCATGGTACGTACTTTGCAGTAATTTAAAACTCATCCACTGGATTTTTATTTAACAAAAATAGTAACAAATTTCAGTTTGTGAAATGAGTCACTAGAGGAGTTTTCCCCTACAGCTGAAGGCTTGCTTTCAGACACTTTCCTCTTTTTAAGCGCTGGTTAAAGGGTCTTGACTGTCCCCGTGTTTTAGATATGATACAAAACACTCTGTTTTCACAAAGCTACTGGGCTGCAGGTACAGTAGTTCTGAGATCTGTATGTGGCTTCCAACATTATATTGACTAAAGAATAGGCAGATATTATAATATTGACATAGGGAGTGTCTGAGCAATGCAGATCAAGCATGACATAGCATGTTTTAGTTTATCCAAATGGTTTAATGTAAGAAATGCGGGCTTTGTTTAGGTTATGTGTGGACTTATCTGGCAAAAGTGGAGCGGGGAAAAAAGCAAGGCTTGTAGCAGACTGTCCGCAATATTCTGTTCCACATTGAGAAGATCTGTTCTCAGGCAGTTGAGCAATAGTACTTATTAACAGACAGACTTCATTAATGCTTCATGACTGGGCTGTCATGGGAGAAATTAATTGCAGTATTGCCTTTTCAAAGTGGCGTGTGCTCTTTGTCCTGATACAAATCCATCACAGTTCAGTGCTGCAGCCAGAGGAGCCTGTAGCTGTGGGGAGGCTTATCAGCAGTGGTGCCAGGCGGTAACCGTTCTGTTGCAATCACATTGATTTTTAGATCCTGGGTGTGGAATAGTCTCTGCGTGGCCCAGTTTGGAGCAGACTGATAAGGCTCCTTGTTTCTTAGCAACGACAGTCTGCCGTAGCCAGAAACCTGCCCCTCTGCAGCTGGAGGGAAAATTCTGAATGTCTCAAATTTGTATCTTGAACCAAGGTAAGTCATTCCCCCCAGCATTTTTAAAGGCCTTTGCATTCAAATAAAATGAATGTGTTGGCAAAAGTTCCTTAGCAAAAGGAAAGCGTAACTTCTCTGTCATTAATAAGACTTTCTATTTTCTTTCCCTGTTCTTATTTAGACCTATGTCTTTCCTGGGCATGGAGGTGCCATATGTCCTTCTCTTAACTAGACTCGTAGCAGAAGTTGCCAGCAAATCTACTGAAAGTTCGGTAGGTACTTAATGTTTTTTGTCACGCTAGGTGCTGTAAAAACAAAAGGATCAGATTATTTTCCTCTCGCATTGCAATTTATAGAAGGCTTTCTAATTCAACAGAAATGACCTACACTGCTAGTAGTCATTAACTGAAACTTGTATGGTGGGTCAATTTGCTACGATGGCTGATTGCCTATTAAAGCATTGAATTCTTCCTAGTCATGTGCTTGTAGGCTAGCAGGGATGCAACTGATAATGCCTCACACCATGTGGAAAAAGTACCCTGGTGATCAAAAAACCACTTTTCAAGCTGCTCGGCAGTTTAACTACAAACAGTCCAAAACATGGATACCCAGAATTTAACTTTTCAAATGACTGAGAAGCTTTGAAGCAAACATTCCTTCAAGTCACAGGAAAAGGTCAGAGTATAAAGTTCTGCTTGCAGGAGAGTTCGACCAACAAAACTTTTTAAGAAACCGGTCTTAAGCATGTTATCTGTAGATCTTCTGGTTCTTTACTGTAGTCTACTTCCCCATGATGCACTAACAGTGTGAAGTCAGCCTACTAATTTCAGTTTTGACAGTCCCAACCATTTCTCCTGATAGCTCTGGTCTTTGTCACCCCTGGATTTGAAGGGGTTTGCTGATAAGCAGAATAATACTGGCTGTTACATGTTAGTTGTATTTAGGTTACTTCTATGGCTGAATATAGATCAGGTCTTGTTACTTTTGACCAAGAATGCTTCATCCCTTTTTAAGACCAATTTGACTTGCTCTATTCTTTAGGGGAACATACCTACAAAACTTTAAAAGGCGTGGGAGTTTTGTGGCTCATTTTTTCTTACACAGATTCAGAGAGTGGATATGCCCAAGTCTATGGGATGTACCTAATATCTATCAAAAGAACCACAGAGTTTCTAACAGCCATTTATCTCTAAGTTTGTGTCACAGCTTGTTGTAATGTGTAAATAATTTTGAAGCTGGCTTTTATTTAAACAAACAAAATAAAAATAAACTACGTGCCTTCAGGAAATGTGAAGTTATTATTTTATTTTAAAGGTTGAAGGAAAAGGCTTTTGTAGTTCTACTGGATTGCTTTGCCTAATATAGATGTTACTGTCTCTTGCAACATGGGCACTCTGTGAACACTGCTTTTTTGCCCGTCATTTTGCCTATAGAATTTCTGAACAAATCTGTTAGGGCATTTGTGTGGTGCTGTGGGAAGGCTAACTTACCACACAGCACCTGAACTCTGAACTGTGCTTCACTGAAGAATTTAGCAAGTATATTTCTAAAGCAGTTTTTTGAGGCTTTGTCCAAAGTCAACAGCAGAGTGTGCATTTGTTCTCAAAGTGTTAGTTTGGGTAGCAGCTGCCAGGTCAAAATGAACTTATGGTGCATGTAGCTGTTCTCTCCTTGTAAGGTTGCTTAATGCAAAAAGAAGAAGTTACAGCAAGTTCTAATTGTGGTTACTGCTTATTCCTCTATGTTCTCTGTAGATTTTTATTTTTTTTTTTTTGTTGAAGCATTTTAGTAAACTTAAGAACTGTGTGAAATGTAACGTAATTTCTTTTCTTAGGTTTCAGAAACAGAATGCTGTGTGGATATGTTGGATTCAAACAGTTCCTGTCCAGTAACCAACCAGTGCAGTCCAGGTATAGTGTGTCATTATTAAACAAAATTCCAGATTGTTTTTGACAGTTAACACCAAAATGCAGGGTCTGATTAATTGGGGAGTGAAAAGAAAATAATTAGTGCCTGTACATATTGAAGTCTTTCTTCCTCTATATACACAAGGTAATGCTTCTTATGACTCACAAATGTTGTTCTTGCATGGTGAGGAGAATAGACAACTATTAGTAAGGTTATTCTTTATCTTTTTTATTTAGTGTGCAGTTGGATTATGCAGGAGCTATTGTAAATGCTTAAAAGCCCTAAAAGCCCATATAATGAGCATAAAAAGCAAAAATGCTGTAATGTGTATCTAAGGGAGCATTAAGAATAATTTCAATATTGTCTTGTTATCACAGAATGTCTCATTCTTCCTTGTGCCATATATGTAGAGTTGTTTTCTTTTAAATGGAGTTAAGAACTTATTTTCTCACTCTTTAGCAGTAGCGAAAGGGTGGTCTTCTTTTTAATGCCATTTTATTTAAAATCAGAGAGTAAAAGCAGGAAAACTGCTTCAGAGCCCACAGTAACAAGAGAATTAGTGGCTTAAAAATTGGGGTCCAGTTCTGGGTTCTGTCATTTTATGTGATGGTTGTTAAAGCATTTTAAGCCTATCTATTTTCACTGCTTCGTTAGCTTCTCTAACTGTTGCTTCATTTAACACGTTCATTGCTGCTTCTAAATGATCTTGGACTCGGTATAAACAATTGTGTCCAGGTTATGGGATTGCGTTCTCTTAAATCGTGTTGTAAACTGATAATCTACCAATACCTTTGGTGTCAGATAAGTGCTTTGATGCTTTCTTCCTATTACTGTAGGAAGTATTTGCCCTTGCATTGGGTCTGTTTGTGTTTAGATTAAATGTCAGATGTAATTTATTACTGTGGGCATCAAACGTGCTGCTTCTCTCTAAGGAAAACGTAGCAGCAGAGTTGTTTTCAAATCAGCACCTTACTAATGGTTTGCTTTATGGGATAATTGATACCAGTTTAGCTCAAGGCTCTATAGAACTGGATTTTAGCCAGCACAGTAAGCTTTTTTCCTTTAAATGTAGACTGTAATATGATGTAGTAGGAATATCCCTTCTAATCTTCATGTCTCAAGCCTAAGCCTCAAATGAAACCACCACAGCTTTATTGTATTAAATTAAGTTGTTATTGAAGATGTGCCCTTAAATTTATTTTTCTTAACAAAGACATAGCAGTGTATGTATTTGAACATAAATTGACAGATTTGAACATCGAAGACCTAGTTCAATCAGTTTCCAGCCTGCATGGTATGGTGACTGATATAAAACACTTGCCATCTGTCACAGGATAGTTTAAACAGTCTTGGGTTCTTCTTAAAGTGAAACAAATAGTACAATGTTGGAGAGGACTGAGGCATGGGAAAAAGACTGTATTATGGCAGTATTTGTATTTTTAGCTTGCCATGCTTCAATTGATTGACTACAGGGATGCCAGCATTTTTTTTCATCCAAGTACACTCATTCTGGTTCTTAGCATCGTTGTTCCTGCCTACTTCTGTTTTCAATAGTAGATATTAAAATGGCATTTTGTTTCGGCAGTGTGTGACCTCTGAAAATAAACAGTAAATTTCTGCTTCTTTTTTACTATTGTTGAGGGTAGTTACAGGTTGTTAGACACTTCCCGTTTTTCTCAAAACTAAAACATGTGAAGCAGCGAATGGAGCTATGTTGAAATTGTCCTCTGGGAGTTGTCTGCTTGTAACTGTGTCTCCTTTTTGGCCCTTGAAAGGTTATATCTTTTGTGGAATAAACACTTTGAAATGAAACCTTTTAACTTGTGTAATATAATAGGAAGCAGGAGATGCTTGTAACCAATAGACCAAACGGAGGGCATTTCTGTTGCCTCTACCTCTTTCTGAAGACTAGGAAATATCTCCAGTGTTGCTTTTGTTGTCTTCAAACCTCTGTACCTCTTATTCTTACGCAGGTTGTTACAGACGATGGAATGAGGATGGTAGCAGCAGTTGCATTAAATGCAAAAATGAAACCCTTCCTGTTTCATCTGTTTACAATCTGACCGAATGCAGAAATAGTGAGTCATTTACCATCCCTTTATTTTGATGGGTGGCTTTTGGTACTGAGATCTCTTCTTGTGCGCGTGGTCCAGCAAAGACTGTTCAAGAAGGCATCAAATGTTGCAGATTTCCCCCCCTGCCTTGTAAAACTTCAACCTTTTCCAAAGTCCCAATATAACTTTGAGCTTTTGAACATGCAACAAAACCTACAGAAACTTGAAATTTAGTTTGCAGAAACTGTGCGGAATGCTGTGGAACCATTCCAGAGTCGGGGGGGGGCAGGAAATCAAAACCTTGTTATGTATTAGAGTACCTAATCTGTGAAGCCAAATGCAACACTAAAAAAAAAAAATAAATCATTCTGCCCTATATAAGGTCTTAAAATAAAAAAGTCCTAGACATCAAAATGATTAAACTTACAGGGTAGGACCTGTATCAAGCATGCAGTGAATACTGAATTTTGTGGCTGCTTTAATCTCTGCTGTAAGAAAAAGGCATTTGCTGTGGGTGTTTGCTAGGGACTTTTCCAGAGCACTAAATAGCTCAGACTGTACTTGGGTTCTTTGAAAAAATCTATATTAAAAGGCAAGACTCATTGTGTAAGTGTGCTTTGTTTGAGAGGCAGGAGCCATTCTATTTGTTGTAAACATTTTTAATGAAAGAGATAAGAAACTTGATCTAAGTTTCTGGGAAGCACACTAGTGAATTATTTTCTTTTTGGTCAAATTATGATGATGCTTGTTTGCTTCCTTTTTGAAATTCTCAAAAGTGACAAAAACAATGAATTTTTCATGGGAGAAATCAGGTTTCTTACACAATTTCAAATATTTACTGAGAAGTATAATAGCCTTTTCCTAAGATTTGCAACAAATCTGTAGGTTTTGTCAGACTGTACTTTAAAAAATTCTTTTTTTATTACAGCTGGTATCAGAGGAATGAATTTCCAAATGAATATAAGCACCGTCACTCCTTTCATACAGAACATAGGTGAGTAAATGGAAATAGCTACTGAGTGCAGGCTTTGTGATTATTCACTGCCTACCAGCCCCTTCATGACATGGCATTTGAAACAAGCTGTAAAATATGTTTTTCTGCAGCACAGGTTTTATATTAAATGTAGTAGCCGTTTTTACTGTTTCTGGCTTGTTCTCCACAAGAATCTTTTATAAGTCTTAGAGTTGAATTTTTAGGTAACTGTATTTTACTGAATGGTTCATCTTGTCCTAGTGATCTTGAAGTGACTTTTCTGGTACAGATTAAGCTGGTTCTTTAAGAAACCCCATAACTTGAGCTTTGAACTTTACGCTGCAAGAGTTTTGGGGGTGAGGAAACATGTTTCGCATCTGTTACATCTTGGGTAGCCTTTCTGTAGGTTGACTTTTATCACTCCTGACCAGTCATTTCTGTTTAGTCTCCTAAAAATGCTTGTTTGACACCGGTAAGAGGAATACAAATTAAGACTATCTAGATAGCAGCATTGCACACTTCAGCAAGAGATAGGGTGCCAAATGAGGTGGTCTAGTGTTACTGGGTGCGTGCGTATCATCAGTGCTCTTAAAAAGGAAAGCTAAGCAGCCATGTCAAACTTGGGTGCTGCTGATCCCTTGCTAACATTTGTCTTGTCATGCGTTTATACTTGTCTGGAAGTATCTCGTGCTGGTCAGAATGTGGACTTCTCAAGCAGAGGTTGTCAGGTAGATCCTGTCCTAGTTTGCCTGCAGCGAGATCATAAACAACTTCTGTTTCTTAAAATACTTGCTCTTTGGGATCATAATTTTAAATAAATAAAAGAGCAGAATAAATATGCAGGGCATTTTCTGAGGCAGGGAAAGTGGAATAAAGGTGAAGGAGGGCACCTTTTGCTAAAGTCTGCCTCCTTGGGATGGTTTCCGTATCAGTCACTTGTGAAAAACATAATACTGGGTGTACTGTACCAGTGGTATATTGTCTGTTGACAAGTTCTGTCTTTAGGAGGTGTTATTTAAGGAATAAAATAACAGTATTAGTGTGGAGTGTCTCCCAGCACTGGTTTTGAGTTATGTAAAAGAAACATTACGATGGGTTAAAAATTTGTGGCTATCCTCAGGAGAGACTAAGGCTTTCTTGACGTTTGGCAGGTAGGGTTGGGGAAGTTCATATAACAAAATGAGTATTGAAAGATCTTTGCAAATATTTCAGTGATGTCTGTCTATTAAAAAAAAAACAAACAAACCACTGTTTTTTCTCCTATGAATATCAGGAAGTTGGTCTTTATCTTTTGTTTAACTCTTCTTTTAGAAGATATTTCTAGTGAATAATAGTCTATTTTCTTTCTCTTTTGTGTGTGTACAGGGGGCCCAGAAGTGGCAGCCTCTCTCATCTTAGGGACATTTTTCATCAGTTTATTCCTGATTCTGTCTGTTGCTTCTTTCTTCTACCTCAAACGTGCCAATAAACTTCCTAATGTTTTCTACAGAAGAAACAAAGGTAAAGTACCTCTAATTGTATGTTTAATCTCTAAAGTTTTGCCCTTTGCTCAGTTTCTTAATTTAAAACCTTTTCAATTTCTTCATGTCAGTGTTCTAACTTAACGTAGCTACTGCTGTCTCTTTGGATCATCCAAAGCAATGCAAACTCCTGCTATGTGGTTGTAGTATCATGTTTTGGTGGCAGTGCAGAGGATGTTTGTTGTCAGTCCAAGTGTGCTTAGGTGCATATTACACAGTATCTCTCACTAACCTAGCCATTGTTTTTGTAGCTTTCAAAGATTTGCCAGAGTACAATACCTGATGTTAGTTGTCACTGAGTATTAGATATCTGATTTCAAAAAGGAAAAAAAAAAAATCAGTCAGTGCTTTTTACGCAGTGGGCAATTTAATAATAAAATAAAAACTTAATGCTTGTCTGTTTCCATACACAAAATGCCAGGCATTTATAAAACCTTACAGAAAGCAGTTGTTTATTCTTGGTTTAGAGAGAAGGGAACTGTAATACTAAAGGGCAGTGTACTTACCATGGCTGTGTTAGCAGCAGGAGAAAGGGAATGTAATCTGAGGTTCCTCGTTATTGTGCTACTCATTCAACTGTGTTTGCCCACTAAAAGCCAAATTTACTGGAGCTTGGAGGAGCTAACTGCCTGATTTTTTTATTTTTTTTTTTTAAAGCAAATACCCCTTAAATTTCATTATAAAAAGAGGAGCTATTCTTTATTTCTGCCATTCCTGTTACTGAGAAATGAAGCCATGTAACTAAAATACAGTGACCTGACTTCATGTCAGAGTGACTCCAGGAAAGCAAGGGAAAGGACACCTGGGATATGCTTAGCCATAGGGCACCAAGACTTTCTGTAGACATCGGCTTCTTTCAGATGCTTGAGTTTCTGTGAAGTTGTTCTGTGTGTCCACATTTTACTGGCCTTCCATTTCTGGGAGGTGGTGAGGTGGGAGGTCATGGCTCCGTTTTGCCCAGTGTTTTGCATGAAGCTGAGGCTGATCTTTGAGACTGTCTCGCCCCTTCTATGCAGTCACTTTGAATGATTCCCATGACAACCTCTAGCGCAGCATTTGCTGTGTTAGAGCTCCTTCTGTTGAAAGCAAGCTGTTTACGAGTTAGGTCTGCTAAACAAATAGGCCTCCTGTTATTTTCATTCATGTCTTACAGGACCAAACTCAAGCTAGACTGTCACAATAGAAATAAGCTTAAAAAAGAGAAAAACGGGGTGGATGGAGCAATACAATTCCGTTGTTTGGCTAAGAATGTAGTATGTAGTTGTAGTAACTTCATGGAACGTCACAATCCCAGTCTCTTTGGTATCATTTCATGTAAAAGTATACAACAGTAACTACCTAAGGTCTAAATTGCTCAGTGCCGTGAGAGCTGCTAGTATTCTAATCACAACTGCCATATTGAAACTTCTAGGTTGCTTTTGCATGAGTCTTCGAGTAAATTTAGTGAGCACAAGATGCTCCTTCAGTTCTTAAGTGGGTCAAGAGCTGTTGTGCTATGACATTTTGAAGCTGGCAGGAAACCAAACATCTGTTGAGGCTTCAGTGATAGTGGTCTGACTTCCACATTTTGTATGGATAGTTCACTCTGGTCCAGCAGGCTAAATCACTGATGCCTTCCTTGGAAGGAGAAGCATTAGAAACATTTCTCTGGCTTATTATCATGTTAGTTTTCATTCTATCTGGACAATGATTATCATGCGGCCAATAAAGGCAGCAACTTCTTGTATAAAAGCGTTGCTTTTTTGCTGCTCAATTGTTTCTGTTTGTACTGCCTCTTTCCGCTAGTTGGCTCAAAGTGCCATTTTTCCTACTGAAGCTTCCTCATATTAAAGAGATACTGCTGTGGCTACCTTCTTTGAAAGCAAAATAAGTCATTCTTGGAGACCTTTGCAACCCTTTATCTCTAATCTTGAAAAAGAGTCCTACAGACAATGTATTCTACTAATGGGATTTCGGAATGTTCTGATCTGTTTTGGTTGTCTTTGTGACAAAACTATTTTTTTAACAACAGAATTGTTCTGTTACACGCGTGTGTTTTTTAGAAAAGCAGCAGTTCTAGCCTTCTAGATTAATGATGGTTAGTCTCTTTCTTTCTCTTTTAGCATCTGTTCTCCAGCCTAGTGAAACAGTAAGTAAAATCTTTCCTTCCAATAGGAACAAGCAAGCATAAAATATCAAGTAAACAGTAACTTGAAAGTTTTAACGGTTCATTAGGGAGCTACTTAATCTGACGTATGAGAGACTGAAACAAAAATAAAAGATGTTTTGGGGTTCTTTGTCCAAACTGGAGAAAAAGGTGAAAGATGAATACTGACTGTATGGATTCTATTAAATTTCTTTCTCCAAGAAAGACTACGTACACAGTAAATATTATTGGAACCCTAAAATGTTCCTGTATTTTTTTAATGAAAGACTGAAGGTAAAAAGTGCTTTGTTTGACATGATCATTCTTCTGTTATACAGGCATCCATGATCCCTCCCCCAGCTTCTTCAGGTGAGGAACTGTTCTCTGGGGCATGCTGCTACAAATATTTTACCTGTTGGCTTCCTTTTTATGCATCAAACTATCTCCAAGTGGATATGCTAAGAATGCACAGCAAGTCAAAATAATTCCCTTTAAAGCCTGGTATAGAACCATGGGATCTATTGAGGGGACAGAAATCCAATTAAATCTGTCTAGTAGATCTTTTTGATAGGATTTATTGCTTTAATTAATGTAGGCATACAATATTGATGGAGTACTTTATGTTAAAATAGATCTTTGACAGGTCCTAAAATAGATCTTTGACTTCTCTATCCTAATAGAGAACTTTAGAAGTAGATGCAATAATTTTTCATGAGTGCTCAAAAATAAATTATTCAGTCTGGGACCTATTTTCAGGATTGGAATCTTCTTGACAACGCCAGGTTGGCTCATTTTCAGGCTTGCTGATTTGAAGCTTTTCAGCTTCTTGAAATGAAAAACCAGACAGTTTGGAGTGTACCCGTTTGTGTGTACGCGGTGTGGGGGGTGTTTGTAGGTTGGCTCTTTTTGGCAAGGTGGGTTTTTAATATGTGTGAAACTCAGGCAGAAATTTATTTCTTGGGGAAGATTTCATCTAATCCAGCTTGTCTCAATTTTCCTTCCCAATTTTTCATAATTTCAACCTATAAATATTCCTGAGAAGTTTGTACTGTGATCTGCTGTTTTAGACCAGATCTGGGTAATCCAAGAGCAAAAGCTTGCTGTTTGGTGGGCCTCTAAATTTGTGGTACCTCTAGGGAATAGTATGTGCTGCTCTTATATTATTAAAGAGCCAGCGAGAGCCTAATAAAGCATGAAACGTCTCAATATGACTCTCCTAGAATACATATTTAAAAGGTCAATGTATTACACCTAATCAAATCAAGGCATTCTTTTAAGTGTCTCTGGCCGTGTAGGTAGTAAAGGATATATTTTGTGTATTTATACAGAAAATTTTTTATCTATACAAGAAATTAATTTAGAGTGGCTAGGAAGTGGATTTATTTGGTCAGGGTAATACAGTAAAATATCTTGTCTCTATGCTTGATCCATGTACTTTCAAAACGACAGAACTTGTGGTGACTTAAAAGTGAGACAGACCAAATCTTCTAAAAACTTAAGAAATAACAGCCTTGTAAGCTCAGGAAAATTTCTGGTCTCGCTTCTCATGTATGCATAGGACTTTTTAATCAAGGTGATATAATTCAAATTTAATTTTTATTAATTCAGTCTTTAACTTTTAAACTTTTTCTACATGTGTTCCAAATCCGGTCTGGCTCTGGCTGTTAAACTGACAGGCGGTGCTGCTTGTGAAAAGTCTTAGTTTCCCTACCTTAATTTATACCTCTGTTTAAAAAGAAAGTACAGTGTGTGTGGGGGGGGTGTTAGGGCTGAAAATGGAAAGCTACATGTCCTGTAAACCCTTACAAACAATGGAAATGCCGCTGTGCAATGAGCATCTTATTTAGTAGGCCATTAGAAACCTGTTCAAAAAGTTTATTTGTGGGCTTTTATGTCAGCTCTGTGTAGGGTTTTTTGTGAGTTGTTGGATTGGGGTTTTTTTGAGGTCCAGAATGACTTTGGTCACTCAGGGATTGTTGGGTGGCATATGGTGTTATGAATTAATGATAAAGGCATGCTTATACAGCAGGTGTTAATGATGTTTCTGTGCCCACCATTTCAGTTCGGAAGCCACGATATGTCAGACGAGAACGGTCGCTAGTGACGTCTGCATCTGCTGCTATCATCTCTTCTTCCGAAACCAGGGTCAGCAATGTTTAGCCTTCATTCTTGACTGAGGACTTTGTAAGTGTACACAGTATCGAAGAAAATTTTTCTGAATCCACTGAAGTGCCAGGAAAACATCGCAAGCAGCTGACCTAAACGGAAGCCAAATTACTGTGTCAAAGGGTTTGTGCCAAATGTTAACAGAGAAATAAACTAATGCAAAGATACTGATGGCAGGCGACATCCAGTTTGGTGAACTGCTCTGGTGATCTTGAAATGCACTGTTCCAGCTCTGTGGTTTCATTTGGCTCCTACAGATGCTGTGTTTAAAACCTTTAAAGGATCTGCCTGCCTTTGGTACACTTTCAGTTTTGGCAAGTTCTTCTGCCTGTGTTGTGATGTGTTCTGTGTTCCCAGAGCTGAATGTGTCACTGCTGCAGGTCAACGCAAAATACTGGGATTACTCAAGGATGTGGACTTGTTTGAAGGACCCACTTGTAAATGCTAACACTAAGTGCCACTGCTTTAACGTTGTAGGACAATATAACGATACTTAACATGCAGTATCCTATTGAAGCAAAAAATGATGCCTCCTGGAGCAGCCTCTTCAGCCTATGACATAGCTGACCCTGGTTTTTAACTGTGAATATAGACCCACTATCCAGACACTGTTGTTCTTGGTGCTTTTGAAGGCTGTGGTCAGTATGGGTCCAATCCCAAGTGTGGGAATTTGTTGGGAAGCTTTTCCAATTGGCTTCATCTCAGTCCTTGGATAAAGAGTCATTTGCTTTGGCTTTGTAACTGATAGGTTGCTACGTCTGTCCTGCAAAGACTGTCTCTGCCAGCTTCCTTCCCTTAACACAGCAGTTGAAGGGAAACCATAATTCCCACAGGGTAGCTGTGCAGCCATTAGACATGTCTGTGAGTATTGAGATGAAGTGGAGAGGTCAGGTAGCTTCTGCCGATGCAATAAGGGGTTTCTTTGGTCAAGCCCTTCGTTAACATGCCTGACATCTGCAGGCCAGCACCTTATGACAGAGCTCAACAAGTATTTTCTTGTTGAATGTGCCAGCCTAAATAGCCCCTGCTCTCAGATGCTTGTTCTTGCCCATCTTATGCCAGCTGTGTAGCTGAGTTGTCACTTGATCAGGAAATTAAAGTAGCTGTAAAGTTTTTTGTTTTGTTTTTTTTTTTCAGCTAGGTTATCTTTCACCAATTTTTTTCCTGGCGTGGTTGACTCTGTTGCCATGTGAACACACACACCGGCAGAATGGGCACAGTGGTACGGGCATAAGAGTGGGTGACTGGGAAATAAGTGAAAAACCTGAGGTTGCTAAATTGGTTGAAGTGTCACTGTCGCCATATGTGAAATTATAACTATGCAGCTTGTGCATTCCCACCTACCTGTGTTGCTATTGCCTGTTTTGGTTTAGCTGGCACTCCATTATGGGTCTGTGCTCCTAAAATAAATTACTTGGAAGCTCTTCATCAGCATCCACTGGCGCGAACATAAACTGGAACAGTCGGTTCTCTTTTTCAGGAAAATGTGAACATAACTGTCTTGAGCTGACATGACACCCATATGGAGAGTCCAGACCTTGTGATCCAGATTCCCTTTTCTCTGTGGTTAAAAACTTATTCAAAGCTAAAAGATGAGAACTGGGATGGGAGGAGATAAATATATCTTGTTGAATAGACCTGGTTTTATGTAAGTTTCGGTGCACTTGTATTTACTTTTATCTCTCTCCTTACAAGGTGAGCAAGATCTCTTGTAGCATCCAAACAAGCTAGGGCAAAGAATGGGGATAAAGAACAAACCATGAAGAAGCCCCCATGCCAAAAAAAAAAAAAAAAAAGCCTGAATTGCTGTATGGAGAAACTTAAGATTGTCTTTCTATCACAATGATAAATAAGGTTTTTGTTCTACTGGACAAAATTAAAGACAGCAGACAATGCCACTTTGAGACCCTTCAGCTTTCCATATGAAATGTGCTTTATAGTTAGTATCTTCCAAGTTCAGGAGGTGGTAGTTTTGTTTCTGTCATTTTGATGTCTTTTTATCTCTGTGCTGCTGCGGTTTTCCCCAGGTAGAAATTATGTCTGGAGGTCATAGGTTTTTCCTGAACTTAGTTGCTGAATATTTTCCTAACCGCTAAGGAAAAGGGGTAACTATGCAAATAATGCCAAGAAACAGCACCTTTGAAAGCAGGGAGTCTCTGCTTGTGAATCTGTCAATGATAGTGCGTTCTTGTATTGCTTAGTTGCTAATATATTCTTTCTACACAAATTATGGAAGAATCATTCATGTCATTGTACTGTCTGAACCCTATCTTATCCTCAAGTGCATATTGTAACTTAGTTTAATGTCAAGTGTCTAATGCTCTAACTTCTGTGCAGCCAAGTCTTTCTCAGTGACAACCTCTCTTCCCCTTCCCATACTCTTCCCCCCGCCCCAGCAACCTCTTTTTAATGCAGCAGGTATTTTTACTATTTTCTTGTGTTTCGGGGACTGTTCAGCTTTTGTTATTGCTGTCTGACACAGTGGACTCGTGGTCTAAACAGTTTCTCATTTGTTTGCACTGTCAAATTAAATATATAATGTGGTATTTTGGTTTCCATCTCCCTCCAAAATAATAATACATATGTATATATATTTTTAAAAATTGGCTTTAATGAACCCTGATATTGAATGTATTTGTATATTTTTAAATTGTGCCAAAATAAACATATTTGAGCTTTTTTTTTTTAATGACTGTGGAGGTCATTCATATATTTCTTTTTCAAGCACAGAATGGAGCAAAATTAGCCCCCGAAGCAGATCCTCGTTTCAGCTCATATGGCATGTTACCTCCACCAGAACTGAAGTTAAAAAAAAAAGTCTGCTGAGTGATCCTGCCCCATTCTACAGCAGGATGGTCTGCAGAGGAACAGCCTGGCTGTATCTTCACACCCTATAACTGTAACCATATGGAAAAAGCCACCCATAATGGCCTTACCTGGAGCAGCGTGAAAGTAACTTTTTAGCAGAGAATGTAGCTTTAGTAAATGATGGAATTTTAACATTAGTGTGTGTTTACTGCTATCTCATTTAAAGGAGACAGCAAGAAAACTCTAGAGAAGGCTGCTAAACAGTGCCAAATGTACCAGCAGTTGCAATAATCGTGATAATTTCTTATCAATTGAAAGGAAGATTATGGTCTTGGGTTTGGATATCTTCCCACATCTGCTCTCTGATTGAGTTTAGAAAGTGTGTTCTTTTTTTCCTTTCCCTTTGCTCCCTGGGAATTTAGTACTCTTGTTGGATTTCTTTCTTACAAATGTATCTTGTGTTCTTAACTCCAGTTGCCAAAACAACCCATAACAACGAGAGCTGAGCCAAAGGAAATTGGGATGCTGAGCCATATGGTCTGAAATAGTAGTAGTTACATTCAGAACACTCTTTTTCCCTCACAAAACTAGCCTGATGCGTGAGAGAGATGCTGCTTTTTGTGAAGTGTACTGATGAGGAAGGATAAACTGAATGCTGTAATGCCTACTGTGCATGCACTATGGAAAGTCAGATAAACTTTGTTGTCAAAGCCAAGGTGACAGTGTTGCATACAAAGAGAAATTGGTCTGGAAAATTATCCCACTGGGAGAGGAAGACTTAAAAGTGGATTTGTCAGTTAAATGGACTTTGACCACCATGCATGCCAAAATATAACAGCCTTTGGGAAGAGGAAGTACTAAGTGTCCTTGCCATTAGTCACCCGGCTGCATTCAGTGGGGGAAATTGGCAGTAAGTGAACTGGGGAGAGCTGTAAGTGGATGTACAACAACAGGGAGCAATTTGAGATGGTATTTTGCACACCTGAGAGGAGCTGTCTCCCTCATCCGTATGACACCATCTGAAGGTGAGTGCATCAGAGATGGAAGGCTGTGACAACCATTTCTTAAAATTGTAAGTCTAAAACCTTGTGTTTCACTGAAATCTGTTATCCAGTTGTAGGCCCTCCAGAAGGCTGGTGCCACGTGCACGAAGAATGAAACAGAAAAGAGATTGCATACAGACACTCTGAAGCATTTTGCTGCATGGAAGCGCATGAAGTTTGCTGGATTAAGGATAAAGTTTTGTGGAAACATAATGATTCAGGTTCAACCTACCTTCCCCTAGGTATTAATCAAAGTTCACAGAAACTGCCCTGAGGTGTCTCTCTCATCTTTCTCTGCGTTTTATTTTTTTCTCTTCTTACCCCTGCCTCTATCAAAAGCTTCTTGGGAGCATTGCTTGGGAGTACACCTGGGATTATGGGTGCAAGTCTGTAACTTCCTGGCACTAAGATTTGAAGGCTGAAAGCTGTTATAACTATAGAAGAAATTGAAGGGGAGTGGAAAAAGAAGCTGGGTGGACAACTTGGGTGCTAACTGGGAAAAAGGAACGATAATGTGTTTGCTCTTGTCCCTCTACAGTTACACAGGATGCGATCTAAGTTGCACGGGCAAAGAGAATGGAGGAGTAGGAAAGAATACCCAAGTTAATTCAAAAACTTGAGGCTCTCTTACCTCCTTGAGATTTGTAGGTACTGGATGGAGAGACTAAGCTGCATGAGACTGCACGGAAATGCTGTCTGCTACCAATGGCTGTGCTTAGCAGGAAAAAGTAGCTGTGCTGTGCCAAGCTAGTGCCTACAACGGTGTGATGGTAACTTTGATTTAACAAACAGAAGTTGTACCTGCTTGCACTCAGAATTAATTTGGTTGCCATTTTAAGTTGTTTGAAAGACTGCACTTCAATATCTGAAGTGTGCTTGCGTTGCTCTTGCTACCAACGTGAAGTTTGTTGAAATGCCTGAAGGCTGCTTTGTGTTTTTGTCATCTATTTTTAATGCTCCCTGGTGAGGGGAAAAAAAAGAAATTATATCAAGTTTATCATTTTAATAGCCTTGACATATTTTTATTGCTAACTGATTGGAAGCAACAGTATTCAGATAATTACACTTCCTGTTTCAGAGCCTGGTGATTTATGTCCCTTAGTAAAGTGTTAAAAGTGTTTTGAAATGATAGTTTCAATAAGATGAGATGCAGCTGTGAGGTATTTGCTCCAAATGATTAGGTCTTTACCACTAAGGTTGCTGTATTCTGTAACAGGACTGATATAGAAGCGGTTGGGCTTTAGACATGTCATACGGATTTTGTAACGAGTGTTGTTTATAAATAAGTCATCTGTTTTGTTGCAATTTTACATCCATCAAACTGTAATGTTCTCTTCTCACTT